GCCTCCTAGAGAGCAGAATAGGGGTTTTGTTCCCATTAGGAGAGGCTAGATGTTATTGCCGGCAATGGACAGCCCCAAAGCTTCACACTAAAGAAGGTAAGTTTCTTGTTCATAACACCTGTCCACCCTGGTTCTCCTGGGATTAGAATAAAGGAGAAGCACTATGTAGGACCTGCTGGGTGTTATCAGAGATGGACAGAGGGGATGCCAGTCTCAGTGCTTCCACACTCTTGTGTCAGAGGTAACAGCTTCACTCCCTCCACATTTCATTGATCACAGCACATCAGAGGCTGCAGCCAACATCCGGGTTCTGCAACAGAACCTGACAAACTTGATGGGCCAAGTAGGTTGACCACATGATACTAGCCTCTTTGGGAGACTGTGCAGGGCCAAGGAGAGGAGTGGGGATTGGTAAGAAATGACAGTGGAAGTCGGACAGGATGGGTCCCTATCTCCTCATCCAGGTAGACATTGTCCCAGAACTTCCCTAAATTGTCACTGGCAAGATTCAATGGAGCGAACCTCAGAAAAATCAGTTTGATCAGATGTCATTGGCAGTAAACTCAGAACTCACTTGTGAGTGTGACCCTGGTAAATCCATGGCTGCCTGGGCTTCCCACTGTGGTCGAGGTGAACACCCACATGGTGTGTTGATTGGGAAGGTACAGGACTCCAAACATCCAGAATCCATGTTATTTTAAATAAACATCAGACACTACCCTGATTACAAGTCTCATCTTTTGCATTGCCCAGGTGAGTGCTCCATCAGGTGGTAAAAATGTTGACATTCACATCAATGGTGAGTCGGTGGTTTCCATTAATTAATTCTGTGCATGAACCTGTGGTGAACTAAGAACTGTTCTTATGAGGAGACACCGAGGTTTCTAATGTCAATCATCACTGCCAGCGACACAGGAAGCCAAATGGCAGTTTTCTTAAACTAGAGAATCCGGTGGAGACCATGTGGAGGTTGTAGTTGATTTTCTAAAGATGATTTCTTGAGACAGATGTAAGGCTCTTTATTCTCTCAAATATTATTTCATCTATTGCATATCCTGCCCCATTATGGTGACTTATGTCCCTGCATCAGTAATTCCATGTGCCAATTAGGAAGTACTGAAAAGTGGAGTAGGATTTGCTTTCAGAAATGCAGGCATGTATGGAACCATAAAAGTGCATGTTAAGAAATGTGTTTTATCTGGCCGGTATGTCTCAGTGGCTCAGGGTCAAACTATGAACCAGGAGGTTACAGTTTGATTACTGTCAGGGCAAATACCCATGTTGCAGGCATTATACCCAGTGTAGGTCTTCAGGAAGCAGCTGATCAATGATTCTCTCACATCACTGATGTTTCTCCATCTCTCTTCCTTCCTCTCTCTAATAAAAACATATTTTAAATATGTAAAATACTACAACCTAGACTTCACTTAATGTATTATTAAATGCTTAGACTTAAAGACCACCAGTAGAGAATGTGAATAACGCAGATTAAACTTATAAGTGTAAGGTACAAGTGGGCTATAAATCATATATACAGTAAAAATTGAGAAAAAAATATTTTGTATATAGAATTCCAAACCAAGAATTCCACATGGCAAAGAAGTCACTGGAGTCATTGAGGAATGAGTGAAAGTCAAATATATGTCTTACAGGCTGCACTGTCCTCCTATTGGTTAGAATAAGAAATTAACTTTAAAAATAAACAAAAATCCTGAGCAAACTTTTAAACAAAGGAGATAAAGACAGTGTAAAGAAATGGTCGCCATCAAACATTTTTACGGAAATGGAATTAAAACAAAAGCAAATTAACAATATACTCATTGATGGGGCTAGTATTTAAAAAGATTAACCTTCGCATGTGCTGGCAGGGTTGCAGAAAAATGGAATTTTCATTACTCTGGGTGGGTGGGAAGGCCAAGTGTTTGACCATTTTAGATCACAGTTCTCCATATGTTAAAATGTAACACATTCACTGACACTGGAACAGTTTAATCCCTAATACATACACCTGTAGAAAGAATGGAATACAGCATTCCCCGGTGTTTTTTTTTTATTTGTTTTTTTTTAATTTTTGTTTTTAATATATTTTACTGACAGGTAGGTAGAGAGATAGAGTTACAAACATCGATGAGAAACATTGACCAGCTGACTCCTGTACAGGCCGACGCTCTATCCACTGAGCCAAACTAGTTATTGCCCAGGTGTTTTATATATAGAACCCCAAATAACTGAAACCATAGACAGCTCAGTAAAGTGGTTATCCATAGAATACATTATTTCCTAGAAATAAAAAATTAACTATTTACATAAACAAAAGTGTCGAATCTCAAAATATCTGTGTAGCATGAAGGAAGCCAGTGCTTGTTAAAGGCAATTCACCTTATACAGTGGGGCGTTGACTAACGAGTTTAATTCGTTCCGTGACAGAGCTCGTAACTCAAATTACTCGTATGTCAAATCAATTTTCACTATTACAATGAATTAAAATGCCATTAATCAGTGTGACGTTCACTGTGACGTTCTCTGCACCAACTAGCGGTGGGGTATCTGAAGCTGGCTCGTAACCTGAATTTTAGCTCACAACTCAAAGCAAAAAATTGGCCGAGAGACAGCTTGCATCTCGAAAAACTCGTTAGTCAGGACACTCGTAAGTCAAGGCCCCACTGTAGTGCCAATAAAATTATGAAAAATATGAACTACTCTACTGTAAAGGAAGGTAAATCGATGCCTGCATGGAGGACTGGGAAGGCAGAAAGCTTACAAAAGGGCTGGAGGTAAATACACGATGTGGCAAAGTAGGTTTAGAGTTGTTGGTATGGAAATAATACAATGATTAATAAATAACAACACAAATATAAACTCTCCATGGCCATTGGTGGCTCATTTTGTTGGCTGTGATCATGTGCAATGAAAGCTATTGGTTTGCTTCCAGGTCAGGGCACATGCCTTCCTGAATCCCCAATAATTGGTCACACAGGAGGCAGATAATTGCTGTTCTCTCCCTCTCCCTCCCCTTCAAAATTTAATAAAAATACATTTTAAAATAGAGAAAATAGTTACTTGAAAAAGAGAATTAACTGTATGTTTGGGCACACTCACAACAGTAAGCCTACTTTTTCCCCAACATGGATGTGGGTAACAGAGAAGCCTGTTTTACCTGTGATGGTTTCTCAGCTTTATCTGCATGTTCAACCTTGCCAAATAGTACACATTAGAAAACTGCATTCCCTTGCTCGTCAGTTATACATATACCTAAGTAAAGTCTTGAAAGGTGGTTTCATATAAATCCTAGATATCCCTCTGTTGTTAGAAAATTAAGATGGCAACCCTATATAGACAGGACCATCCCTCTCCTCATTTCTTGGGAGGACCAGCCTAGCCTCAGTGACAGCAAATACTGATAAGCAGTGAAGACTACTGCCATCAGCCGCGTGGCTCAGGTTGAGCATCGACCTATGAACCAAGAAGTCAAGGTTCAATTCCTGGTCAGGGCACATGCCCAGGTTGTCGGCTCGAATCCCAGAGCAGGGCGTGCAGGAAGAAAGTGATCAATGATTCTCACTCATTGATATTTTGCTCTCTCTCTCCCTTTCTCTCCAAAATCATAAAAATATATACTTAAAAAACACACAAAAAAACTATTGCCATGAAATTCAACAGGAATGCTGACTGCTTACAAAAGACACATCCTGGGACAAATTGCAGGATTATCTATCCTCTAGCTTTGACTTCTTGCCTGTTGAGCAACTACCTTATGTAAACACTCTAGAGGGGCCAGGGGAATACAAAATAGCATTAGATTGTTTTATATGCCAATGATGTCAGCTACATGAAACAGTTTTGGAACTCCTGAGAATGTCTGTACATAAAGGTCACACAAGCCACAGGCCCTGGGACATCCATGGCCTCATGTTTAGTAGAGGCCCTTTTGATCTAATTTACTGCAGGCTTTCCCACTCACTATAGAAACAGTTTTTCTGTCGTAATTGTGGTTCCACCTCAGAGTCTTACAATATGACACCAGCCTATGAAATTCCATACTTCCTGGAACATGGCTCCTTTGCAGTACATGGAGAGCAGGCTCCTTAAACAATGCTGAAGCTTATGCAATACATACTGTGAACAGAGAACATGATTCATATTGGTCACAGAAGCAGAGCGACTTTCAGAGTGACCTTTGCCCTCACCAATAATCGAGGCACTAGGCTGCAGATTAAATGCACAGTCATGTGGTCTTTATTTCAAGGCCATGGGCTGCAGTAAATAATAAGTCAATATTGGACAAAAAGTGATTTCCTGCCATTATGCTCTCCCTTCTAAACCACATAAACTTTGGGATAGACGCAATATCTATTCATCTCTGCATGCAGACATATCACATTTGTGTTTGCAAATCATCTGTGGCCACGAATAAAACCAAAATTAAAGAACAAATGTAAACAAACCTTAAAAAAAGATCCTAAACTAGAGCAGAGGAGAGCAAGCGGTTTACAGGTTGGTGAATAAGAATCCCCCCAAAATTTATCAAAGCATAATGTGAGTACCACTAGATCCCTGAAAGAGGTAGCACTTCTTAGCAGAGAACTGGTGCTCTGTATGAATCCTGGGTCAGGTCCATTTTCTAGTCATAGAGAAATGAATGAAGACACTGCCAAGAGGTTGGAGGAACCATAAGTACTTCAAACAAAAGTGAAAACACAGAATACAGTCCCCTGAACACCCAGGAATGATGACCAATGCACACTCCGCAGGTGAGCCAGGTGTTAGAGGTGAAATCTCTTCAGTGAGAGACAGTGACATCATTTGGGTTGTAGATCTAGGCATGTTAGCAAGTACAATGCAGCTCCTTCAAGTCTCACTGGTACCTCAAATTTATGAGGAACCTAGCAGGTGTATGTTCCCATAAAAGGTGTTTGCATTCATGTAAAGGGTCTCATAGAGCCCCTTAAGTGTTCTTATAATATGTGAGAAAAAGAAAACATTCCCTGCATAATTATGGCTTTTCTCCAGTGTGAATTCTGTGGTGTACAGTGAGGTGATATCTTTGACGGAAGGACTTCCCACATTCACTACACTCATATGGCTTTTCTCCAGTGTGAACTCTATGGTGTACAGTGAGGTGAGACCTTCGACTAAAATGCTTCCCACATTCACTACACTCATATGGCTTCTCTCCAGTGTGAACTCTGTGGTGTATAGTGAGGTGAGACCTTCGACTGAAGGACTTCCCACATTCACTACACTCATATGGCTT